GGTGTTGGATTCTATCAATTCTCTCTCCTGTGTCTATCTCATCTCTCTCTGTTCCTGCTCCTCTCTGTATTTTTTCCTCCTGGTTTCTAGGCAGCTAAGATAATTACTAAACTTCTAATTAACCCCTGCCCTGAAGAGGGTGGGTCTGGCAGGAGAGGCAGCAATTTTGAAACTGTCTTGGTGTGTTAAGGGGATTGTTGGGGTGTGATGGGGGGTGGTTTATAAGGCAGACAATAAAACAGACACATGATACATGTTGTCTCATTCTGTCCTTTCAATTGTTGGAGGTAGTGATCTTAGAGACAGGCTCAGAGAGGTTGGGGAAATTGCACAAGAGCGCCAACTGCCAAATGGCGGCTATCTGACTCAAAAGTCTCCACCTTGCTCCTCATTGCTCCCTGGCACAGAGGCTAAAGCCGGGTAAGGGGGCCCCTGATTCCAGGTTCATTTAGGTACAGCCTTGCTGAAGGAGGCCACTGCTTTGTTGCTTCCCTGGGGCAGCACCTGCCTCCCTCCTCCCTACCTTCAGGTCCCACCTTCCTCTGGGCCCCTTCGGCATGATGGTAAAATCTCACATATGCAAGGTTTTGCCCCTGGTGGGGTGGGGGGTTGGTGAGATAGCAGTCAAGAGGGAGAAAACTGACAGACCCAGACCGCAGCAGTCCCCCTCCTGCTGACACCCCCTCCCACTTCCATGTCTGCCCCTCCCCTTTGTGGGTCAAGCTTGCCAGCATCTGCGTCTGTCTCATTGTGCTCTGGGGGAAGGGGAGATTCGGGGTGAGTGGGTGTCTGTGTGCATGAACATAAGGCCTCCGGGTTCATTCTGACACTGAATGAAAAACTCACCAATTATTCGTCCAATCCCATTAATATGCAGGCAGACATCTGTTATTTAGGAGTCAACAGCAGAGGCATTTTCTTAGGGGGGAGGAATACTCATGTATGTGTCCCTCTTGTCTCTTTGGCTGCTGGGGAGCAGGGTAGCTCCCAGTGGCTGCTGGGGGGGCAGGTAGCTGTTTGGGAATCACCCCACATGCCTAGACCAGGAGCCTCCCCTCTCTCTGACCCTCACTCCCAGCCTAGAGGAGAAGGAGTAGGGGGTTGGCTAGAAATGGAGAGAGACCTGGGAACCCAGCTGGAAGGGGGAAGCGGGGGAGGGGGCTGCACTGTGTAGAAGAAACTCTTTTGTTGGCAGAGAGGGAAGTGGGGGGTGCTCTGAAGAGCTGAACCCCTTTCCTGGGGAAGAGAGTGGAGCAAAGGAGACAGCTGTACTAGGATCGCCTGCCAGGGTTCCGGTGTCCACCAGGAACCTCAAGGACGTGACCTTAACCCCACCTCTGACCAGTCTGCGTGTATCTTGAGCGGGGTTACTATGGCAACATGGGGCCCTCACCCAGACTTCAGAAAAGGTAGTAATGAGGGGAGTTCAGAAAAATGGAGACCAAAGGACGTCAGCCTTTGGAGGAGGTCCCTAGAGCTCTCTCTCTGGCCCTCAGGATAGGTGTGGAGACATCGGAGCTCCCCTTCTTGTCCCCAGCCTGAAGCCCAGCAGCACAAGAGGCCCCCTCCAAGCAGCTTTTCCAGCTTCCATCAGGCCTGCTTTAGAGACACTCAAGCCTGGCGTCTATGTTGTAAATAATAAAGCTTGACAGCAACTCAGACCCAAAGGGTCAAACAACTTTTGTACATTCTTTCTCCTCTCTGAATACTCAACAGCGTAGGGAGGCAGATGTGGCCATCAGCTCCCTTTTCCGTGTGTGAAAACCGAGGTTCAGATGTGTGCAGGGCTCCCCAAAGGTTCCCCAGGGAAGCAGCAGCAGAGTAGGGACCCAGATCCTTGGACCTCTGCCTCCAGATCTCAAGCACTTTCCATGACCGTCCCTTCTGAAAAGGCTGGGGTCCTGAGGGGAAAGACCTTCTGTCAGCTGTAGGCTCTTCCCCTCTGCCATCCCTTCCTTCCCCTCCTCCATGCAGGGCAGGCTGATTGGGGGCTGGTGGGCGGGGGGCGGGGGGGGGGAGGGTGGGGGGGGGTGGAGTGTGTTAAGAAGCACTGGCAGCATCACAGTGTGATTAGTTGTTTATTTCATTAAATGATTAACGAGGCTACATTGTTTCCCAAACGAGTGTGAGTGTCTAATTTGTGGGGGAAACAGCTGCAGGGGAGGAAGCTGGGTCTGACTTCTGCATCTGGGGTGGGGGTAGGTGCCCCCATACCAGTCCACAGGGGCCTTTGAGGATCTAGGAACAGGAACAGTCCCATTCCCTCCTCCTATCCTTTGGGCTCCTCAGCCCAGAGGCACAGCCTTCTCCGTGGAAATAAAATGTCTGGCAGCCCAGACCTGCAGAGGGGACAAAAATCTGTTCCCGGTAGTACTAGAAATGTATTAAACTTTGGGGGTTCCTCCAGCTGATTTATCTTCCTAATTATGTTTGCTTTAGGCGGATATTGAAATGCATTTGCGTTCCCTGAGCCAGGCAGGAGAGGGAGGTTGGGATGTACTTTGGCGGCTACAGGCTTGAGCCTGCTTTGTACCAAAGTGATGAGAAGCCACAGCCCCAAAATCCCAAGACAATGGTAGTCAGGCCCCTGTGGGGGAAGGGTCAGGCCTCTAGGGTCAGACTGAGATCCACAGAGCTGGACCCCAGCTCTCTCCAGCGCCCTCAGTCCAAGTCCAGGACTTGCAGAGGATCTTGGAGTTAGCCCCTAAGCAGGTCTCAGTTTCAGAGGGTGGGGTACCCAGGGCCCTTGAAGCTGTCCCAGAATCCTTGAGGAGACTGTCTGAGATGGACAGGGTCTCGGAGGAAGAGGGAGAATACAGAGTGTCTGACAAGCCAGGAGGGGGTAGGAATTTCCTTTCCTCTCAAGACTGGACCCTGGCAAAGGGAAGGGAGAAGCTAATTATTTGGCCACACAATGCAGGATCTTAGTTCCCTGACCAGGAACAGAACTCATGTATCCTGCAGTGGAAGCAGTCTTAACCACTGGGCCACCAGAGAAGTCCCAAGGGAGAAGCTATTTTAATAGCTTTAATAGCATCCCAGAGCCAAACCCTCCAGCCCACCGCCCCCCCCACACACCCCGGGTCACCTCATCCAAATAACCATCTATGCAAAAAACCAAATCTGGTCACTTCATTTTCTGCTTGAAACCCCTTTGGCCACCTCACATCCCCAGAATGAACTCCTGGTTCCTTTGCGGGGCCTGCATCGATATACCTTCCCAGTCTTGTCTTCCTCTCTCCCTGGCGTGGCAGCCCCAAACATGCCAGTGCCATGCTCTTCCTCATCTCCACGTGTTCGCACATGCTGTATTCTCCACTCAGAGTACTTTTCCTACCCCTTCCCTGCCTGGCAAACTCCGCTTTGACCCTCAAGGACCTGGCTCAGAGGATGGGCTTCTGAGGCTGTAAGGAGCTCCCACAACTGAGGCACCATCACACCGGGGGCACCTCTCTTCCCCACTGGGCTGGCCTCCAGAGTATAGAGACTGGTCCTTTCAGAATCCAAAGCCAGTGTCGGGCACACAGTTGGTGCTCAGTACACACTTGCTGAATGAATGAGGGAGGGAGGGGCTGTGAATTAGAAGCGGGGGATCCCAGCAGATGGGAGGGTAAGGTCTGTGTTCTCTCCCAGAAGTGTGTCTCAAGAATGGGCTGGGGCTGGGGGAGGGGAGAGCCATGGATGGTTCCTGGGGGAGAATGTCACCAAAAAGAGGCCAGTGGGATCAGAGCCAGGGAGGGAATACAGGACGATGTGAAACCAGACTCCGGAGAAAACAGACCAGCACTGTCTTTCTTGACAACAAGTACTCTAGCCAGTCCCTCCACTGGCTTTCCTTGTCTAGCGGAGGTTGAGGAGATGTGACCCTCAACTCTTATCTTGTGCTCCCTCCAAAATCATCAAGTTGCTCAGGACGGAAAGATGGAGTCAGCCCCTGCCCCAGCCACCAAGGAGACCCCAGAATCAAATGACTGTCCCCTTGGGAAACTTCACTCTGCATGGGGTCAGCTGGATGCAGAGGCTTTTAATGTCCTCCTACCCCAGAGCTCCCAGGGCACCAGCTGATTCCAAGTTGGGGCTGGAGATAGTGATCAAGGGTCCTGGACCACTTCAGCAGGCCTCCTCCCACATTAGCAGGGGGCCCCAGTTGGGCTAAGTAATGAATTGCACATCAGTCCACTTTAAACCCCCTAATGGCTTTAGGATTGTCTGGCTCATTAACTGAGATGAATAGTCCCAAGACACCTCTCTCTCCCACCTCTGGCTCCTAAAAGGACACTGCTGATCCAACCCACAGCTTTTTCCTCTGCTCCATCTGTGAGCATCGACAGGGAAGTTCTTCCTGAAGCCTAACTTTCCCTCCATCTACTAGACACTGGTAGATTGTTTTTTTTTTTTTTTAAGAAAGCAACAAAACTAAAGCCACAGTCATTTTCCATGGACATGGGCTTTATTTGGACTCTACTGGGGGAAGGGAGGGAGGGAGCTAGGACTGGTGGGTAGATGGGGGCAGGGGGAGAGGAAGAGGCTTCTCAATTTGCTTTTTAATTTAGTGCATGTTGCCTGGAGGTTAGGATGAGTGAGAACAGCTGTGGAAATGAGAGGTGAGGAAGAAGGAAGGTCAGCGAGTGGACACTTTCCTTGGGGAAGAGCGCCAGGACCAGGATATGGGGACTGGAGGTGGGGAGGAAGGCACCCTTCATACATTGAGACTCAACCAAGGTCACTGCTTGCTGCTGGCTTCCCCAGATCCCTGGCCTCATCCCAGCCCACAGCCCAGATGCCTGCTCTGCTGGTTCCCTCAACTTTCAACTTGCCTTGGACAGGAGCGGAATGAGGATGTGGGGAACAGTGGCACCTTTCTGCCTCCAACTCCCTTCTCAGGGAGAACTGTTCACTCGCCCGCCCTAAAGTCCCAAACAGAGTCAGGAGATCAGGAAGCCAGGACCAGCAGTGGGACAACTGTGCCCCAGGCCCCCCTCCTCCTCCCATAGGGCCCCTCACATGAGATTGCAGCTCTTGGCTCTATCCTTGTGTATCTCACCCTCATTCCCGTTCCCATTTCCATTCCCCCGGTCTGGCCGTCCTGCCAGCTGAGCAGATCGCTGCAATCCCCGGCGTGAGTCAGTACGGCGCAGCTGTCTGTGGCCACGGCCAAGGGAGGCCACGGTGGCCACGTGGAAGACATCTCTGACGCTGCGCTCAGAGGACCGGGAAGAGCATTCTACATAGGACACAGCCCCCACCTGCTTGGCCAGCACGGTGCCCTGGAAGGATGGAGTGAGTAGAGAGGGTCATGGGACTGCAGTTCAGCAAGGGGCAGGGAAGCTGGGGCAGGGGGTTAAGGGATCAGGTCAGAGGCCAGGGCAAGGGATTAGCCAAATAGGGTGTTTTCAGAAAAGAGGCTGGAGGGGCAGAGGTGAGAGGTCTTAGGTCACAGATCAAGAGGCCCACCTGCTCATGCGTAACAGGGATAAGCCTCTGCTTGGACAGCTCCCTCAGTGTGGCCAGGTCAGTCCGCATGTCCAGTTTACAGCCAACCAGCACAACCTTGGCATTGGGGCAAAACTCTTGAGTCTCCCCTTGCCACTATTTGGAGCAAGAAAACAAAGTTATGCAGGGGTAGAAGGAGGCACAACATGTAGGAACCACCCCCCTGGCTCACAGCATGCAGGAATCATGCACCCCTCTAGTCTCTCCCATGTAATTAAGCAAGGAGGTGACACTGGTGGGCTTGGGCTGAAAAGCAGGCAGAGGTATGGGAGAAGGGAAAGAAGGAGAAGGCAAGGGTGGGGGCCATGCGGGGTCGGCCAGCTTGGAAACTTCCCATTCCCACCCCCTTTCCCAAATTTGTTCCTGGGAACAGACCAATCCCGCCCTCTCTTCCCACAACTGCAACTGAGAACTAGGGCTGCCTTAGCTGACTTCTGTCCATTCACCTTGGGCTTTTCTCATGGAAATAGGGGACTGCAGAGGACACCCGCAGGGGCTTTCCTGAACTCCAGCAGCAGCATTCCCATCTCCTTCATCCAGGGGCTCCCAAATCCAAGGAGATGAGGAGGGTGGACTAGTAATCCCTTGAGTACTTCTCCCTTTTGTCCCCCATGTCCCCCAGATGCCATATCCAGCTCTAGGACTGACTTCCAGGAAGTCAGGGAGGACGGGAAAAGTTGAGGGTGTCACACACTTTCTCCCTAATGGCCATGCTCAGCTTTAACTCCCTCCTGGCCCATGCGTTTCCCTGTCCCCCTCAGTCTAGCTGTCCTGCTTCCCCAGGCTCCCACCTTCTTGAGGACACTGTCCAGTGTTTCTGGTCGGCTAATGTCGAAGCAGATGAGCACAGCGTCCGAGTCAGGATAGGCCAGAGGCCGGACGTTATCATAGTAAGAGGAACCTGAGAGAAGACAAGGAGGGAGGGGACAAACGAGGGTCCTGAGAGGGAGGAAAGCCTGGAAGGGAACGGGAGACCTTAGCAATCCTGGCGGTTAAGGCATGCTGAGCAGAGAATGGGAAAGAGCAGGTATTAGTCCCCATCAAGGAGTCCGTTTCTCCAAGGAAAGCAGACAGAAGGGAGGTTAGGGGCAGAAATAAGCTCTTCACTTCCCTAGGGGGTTCTCTAAAAGTAATCATTCTTAATCTCTTCTGGGTCTTTGAGAAGCTCATGAAATCATTCAACATTCTCACAAAATTTTGCATGTGCTTTCTGGGCTTTGACAGACATCTTCTATAGCTTTCTAGGGGAGCCAAGCAAAAATTTAAAACAAAACAAAACACCCTCCCTTTTTGAAGATGAATGGGCAGGGGCAGAGCTCTTCCACTCTCCTCCTGAGAACTGATATTGGATTTCTACAGTTCAGTCTAGAGAAGCAGTTTCCTGCTGCACACCCTCACCCCAAGAAATTCTAAATGTCTTTTCTAAACCCAGTCTTATCTCCTAAGAAATATGTTCCAAAACAAAAGTCATTCCTTCCCAACTTTCCCAGGTATGCAGAATCCAGCTAAGGGGACAGGCTTTCTCCTTCAGGACAAGGTTTCTATGTGTCTCTGAAAGCTCTGCCTCAGTTTCCCTGGCTTTAAGCAGAATATTGATTTTCCCTCCTCCTAGAATTGGATGGATGGGCTGGGTTGAACTAGAGCCTAAGGATCTAGTCCAGGGAGGGATTAGGGGGAGGTCTGGAAGTCAGGGTGACCCCGAGGGACTTGGCTACCTGAAGTGTCCCACATGTTGAGCTCAATGCGGCGCTTGTCGATCTCAAAGCTCGCGGTGTAGTTCTCAAACACGGTGGGGACATAACTCTGCAGACACGAATGGGTCAAGATGAGATCCTCCAGTCCTCACCCCAGACAAATGCACTCCTAATTCCCACACCCCCTGTAGCCCAGCCCCAGGACCCAAGTTGGTCCGGTGTTGGGTAACGGGAAGATTCCGGGAGCGGCTGCCTCAGCGGAATTTCTGCCAGGCTCCCGGACCCCCTTCTCGGTCCTTTCAGGCCCTAATTCTTCCTCTTTCCAATGCCTAGGACACTCTCCCCCCCGACATTCCCCTGGCGCCCCCTCCGGGATCCTCTGGTTCTTCCAAGCCCCATTCATCTCACCCTGCTCCCCAATTCCTCCCACCCCAAACCTCTGCAGTCTTTCCAGAAAGCCTAACGTCTTCCCCAGTCCTCCAAACCCCTCTCTTGGATCCCTGGTTACCCCAGCACCCATTTCCGTCCGTCCCCCAGGCTCCAATCACCCACCCCCGCGGCCCCAGCGCCCCCCTCCCAAGACGCCGGTTCCTCACCCCGGGGTAGGCGTCCTTGGCGAACACCTGCAGCAGCGCCGTCTTGCCGCACTCGGCGTCCCCCACCACCACGATCTTGCAGCGGCCGCTCTGCCCCTCCATGGTCCCGGCTACGCGCCGGCCCCCCGCGCAGCCCCCCTCCCGGGCTCCGCTGCTGCCTCCCCCGCCGCTGCAGCTGCAGCCGCTCGGGCCGCCGACACCGGCATCTCTCGGGCCCGCGCCGAGCCCCCTCCCGGGGCCGCGGCCCCCCCTCCGCCCCGCCCCCCCTCCGCCCCGCCCCCAACCCGGCGGCCGCGCCCCCGGCCCCGCCTCCCACCCGCGCTGCCAGGGGGCGGGGCCCAGAGGAGAGGGGCGGGGCCAGGGGCCCAGGAACAGGGTTCGTGCGCGCGGAGTGATAGGGACCCTGCGGCTTTCGGGCCCGCTCAGCGGAATTGTTTGACTGACTTGACTTCCTCCTGCCTGGGATTGGGGCGGAGTTCGGGGAAAGTTCTCAGAGGTAGGTGGGAGCTGCACACGCATGAGGCTTGGGCCTTCTGGGTGCCCACGCGTGAACGTCGGTGTGCTACTGAGGACACGCGTGGGGGCATCCATCCACTTTCTGAACTGAAGGGGGCGCGAGAAGGTAGGGGGGAAAAGGAGTCTTTTTGGTTTAGTGTCTCTCCTCTACTCTCAAGTCCAGGGAGTCTTGAGGATATGTAGGAAAGGACTCCAACACAACTACCAGGACAATGGTGACGTCATGGCTTTCCGTTTCCATGGCAACGGCCGGCCGGGTCTGGAGCTGCAGTGATTTAACCGCGGGCCCGGACTAGCAAGGAAGCGTGGACTGAGTTTCTCCAGCCTAGAGCAGGGTGGAAAGTGTTGGGGAAGCTGCGTCCTCTGGTGGATGCTTCGCGGAGAAGAGAGAAAGAAGAGGAAGACAGAACTGCCCAGGGAGACAGCCCTGCTGGAACCAGAGACAAGCTCTAAAATCATTTCAGGCTTAATTCGGAGCCTAACATTAATCAAACCTGTTTTGCATGTACATGGCATCTTTTACCTTTCAAAAGGGCTTCTTTAAATAGAGGATACTCGATTTAATTGTATCTTTACCCTGTAAGGATAACTGGAGCAAGCAACATCATTTCCATTTTACGGAAGGAACAATTGAGGCACAGAGCTTTAACAAAGATAGATGGCTCGGTCACCCTGCTCCAGCTTGCCACTGCAAGAACACAAAGAGTGGATCACATATGGGTAGTGTTAGAGTCTGAGGACAGGCTGGGTCGAGTTCCGCTCCACAGGTGGCTGGCTCCCCACATCTGACGTAAGCTCAGGTTTTGGGATCGTCCTTCAGACTGTCCCTTAATATATTTTAAAACTTGTTTGTCATGAATACATAAATTTACTCGCGGTCTTCCTGATCCCAAGAGTGACCTCGCGTGAGTCCGTACCCATAAGCTCCTCTCCACTTCTCGCGCTCCCGCCGCACCTGCCGGGTGGCCCTGGCCCTTTAAGTCGGCGCACGAGGCCCCGCCCCCGTCTCGGCGCCCCGCCCCGCCTGCTTTGAGTCCGCAGCCTCCGCTAGTCCTGACGCGCCCCGCCTTCCCCAGCGGTGCACTCTCCGTCCAGCTGTGCGCCCACGTCGGGAGGCTCAGCCATGTCCGCCGAGAGAGAGGTAGCCGAGGCGGCCACCGCGGTGGCGGCGGCCGAGGCAGGGGCTGGAGAAGATGCTTCTTCGCAGCCCCCGAAGGCGGAGGCAGCCTGCGACGCTCAGCCGTCTGCGGCCTCCGAGGGGCCCGCCGCCCCTTCGCCGCCGCCGCCTCTGCTGCGCTGTCTGGTGCTCACCGGCTTCGGCGGCTACGACAAGGTGAAGCTGCAGACCCGGCCGGCCGCGCCCCCAGCCCCGGGGGCCGGCCAGCTGACGCTGCGCGTCAAGGCCTGCGGGCTCAACTTCGCTGACCTTATGGCCCGGCAGGGGCTGTACGATCGGCTCCCGCCGCTGCCCGTCACTCCAGGCATGGAGGGCGCGGGCGTGGTGATCGCTGTGGGCGAGGGCGTAAACGACTTCAAGGTGAGCGGGCAGGGCGGGGAGAGGCTGCGCAGGCTACCGGGCAGTGGGGCACGAGTGGGTGGGCGCCGGGGGTGTGGCAGAGCTGGGGGAAACTGGCACGAACCCGGGTAGACGGGCTCGGAAGAGCACAGGACAGGAGACTGTGCTCTGAGGCTCCTGGAGAACTGGATTTATATTGGGGAGTGGGGGTTGAGAGGGAACCCTTGCCCGCTCCCCAAACATTTTAGTCGTGGCCGCCGCCCAGAAGCGGCGGTGGTGCTGGGTGGGTGGGAAAACAATAAGGAGCCTTTGCGCATGCGCGCAGTGAGCCTCTCGGCTGCCCGCCCTCCCACTACCACCCGTGAAACCTATTCGGTACCCCTGCCCACTGAACTCTCCGCGGGTAATTGTCGTCTGTGACTCTGAGTGACGGTGGGGACCTTCCCCCAACCCCTGCCAAGGAAGCTTGAAGAGCTCTGTAGTCGGAGTTGGGCGGGGGCTCCGGGCCGTGCCAGAGCCCTAGTCACATGCTGCCCCGTGGTCTGTGGGGGTGTGAGGCGGCCCCTCCCAGAGCCCGGCCGGGAGACGGGCACGCCCATCATGGAGGAGAGGGAGTCCGCCACCCCCTTTCCCCGCACACCGGCCTTCCACTGATCGTGGGGGTAGGGGTAGGAGTGCGGACTGCTTTCGGGGGGCGGGGGGCGAGATTGGGTGTCTGGATCTTTGTCTTGGGCTCTCTGTCTCCCGTGACAGCAACATCTCCTCCGCCCGTGACTCAGCCAAGCAGACAAGACCCCAGGGGCGCCGCCCTTGGGAACTTGAGGCAGAACCCACCTCTGCCTTCCTCAGAGGGGACCCTCGCCTCGGAAACCGGGCCCGGTGCCCATTTGGACTGGGGGGGGGGGTGGTGGCACCGTGAGCAGGTTGGCCCAGCTCTGCTGTCTGTGTCTCCTTTTTGTTTATCATTAATCTTGGCCAAAACCCCAGACAACGAAGAGATCCAAATGATCAACTTTTTGAGAGACCTGGGGTAATAAGGCTTTTGCACGTCGTTTGTTGAGGGGTTTCTTTTCAAGTCAGGCCCCTGCTGGAGAGACTCACCAAAGGCAGGCTTCATCTTGCCAGACCTACCGGCCCCAGATCCCAGAGCTGGAAATTTTGGATTTATTGTACAAGCATACATCGCCTTCCGCCTTAAAGGGCTTCTCCCTGGATTCAGCTTCCACCCCACCCTTTACACTGACTTCTAACTAATCCTACTCTGAGAAGGTGCTAAGAGGAATTTTTTTTTTTTTTTTTGATGGGAGTTTTAGTTCATGTTACTGCCCAAGGCCAACTACCTAACCCCTTCTCCCCACACTTTCCGCTTCGAAAATACAGGATATCCTGTCCAGGGTAAGAATCTGATGTAAGAGGCTGAATTCTGAGGGGAGAGCCCTTCCTCGCTTCTGATATCTTAGCTGGGAAGGGGTCCTGGGCTTAGGGATGAGCATTAACCTTGGTGAGTGGACCTTGTACTGGACCAAATCTGGGACTAGCCACCACCTAGACTGACCACACTTTTCCCAGCTCTCGATGGTTATTTCTGAGTCCGCTAGTCCTGAGTCTTGGGGAGGCCATTCCCCAGACCTCATCTCAGGCCAGTGCTTGTGAAGAAAGATGCTAGTCTGCCCTCAGTACTCCTCCTCAGTGGAGTGTTGGGGCTTGAGGACATGAAAAAAAGGTATGTGTGGGTGTCCCATCCCCCTACCCCATGGATCCCAAGTCTGGTTACTATGCCAAATTCCCATCATTCCTGGCAGGATCCAAGACAGACTCAGATTGTCCTGGAACAGCACCCACACCTCCCTCTCCACGCTCTTCAGAGAACCATGAGAGGCTTTCCTCCACAGACTGCCCCCTTTCCCCTGTTCTTCCCTTGACCCTGGTTGTTAAACTGGAGGGGAAGCTCCTGTTTTCTTTGCTCCCTTTCCGTCCTGCTAGGAGGCTCTTGTGCAGTTGGCTGAGGGCCTGGGGAAGGGGAAGAGCGATGTCTTTTCTGGATAGGTGGGATGGTGTGGCTGGCTCTCCTTGTCCACTGTCCCTCCCCCCAGTCACTGGGTGAAGGTTCTTTCTGAGCCCTGGGTGCTACTCAGAGACCTTTACCTGCACTTTCATATGGCCCTTAGCACATACTGCCCTATTCCTTCATTTTTTTTTTCTTTTCCTTCAGTTTTAAGATTGGTGACTGCCCCTCCTTGCTTCTGGTATTGTCATCATTGTCGTCATGATTATTAGCTAACACTATGAAGTTCTTACTGTGTGCCAGACATTAGGCTAAAAAATCACTGAAAGATATATATATATATTTGCCACTTAATCCTCATTAACTGCCCTGTTTCACAGATAGGAAACCTGGGGCTCAAAAAGGTTAGACAATGTTTATTTGCCCAAGATCATACTGTCAGAAAACAATGGAGCCTTTTTTTTTTAAAAGCCAGAGCAGTTTGATATCTTCACCAGTATTTCATGCTGCCCTAACTATAAGCTTCTTACACAATAGTAAAGTGTAAGATTTGTAAGTGGAGATAGGCTAGTATCTTCCTCAGGGAGCTGATATGAGTTTTGAGTGTTTATACATAGTGGTTACAATAGGCCCTGACCCTTGGTAAGCAGTCAGCAAAGATACATTTTTATTGTTTTTGATGATATTTTTACTATTGTTATTATTATAACCATTACCCTGAGCCCTGCTGCTGCTTGTACTATTACTTCATTGCCAGGAAGAGGGCCTTGTGCACAGTGGAATGTTGTAAATTACCAGCAGGTGAATGAAAGAGTGAATGAATGATGCTCTTTTAAATTTTTTTTAATTATAGTTTTACAATGCTGTGTTAGTTTCTGGTATATAGCAAAGTGATTCAGTCTCTTCCATTCTTCAAGGTAGGGGACCGAGTGATGGTGTTGATCCGGTCAGGCATGTGGCAGGAGGAGGTGACTGTGCCTTCAGCCCAGACATTCCTGATGCCTGAGACCATGACTTTTGAAGAAGCTGCTGCCTTGCTGGTCAATTATATCACAGCCTACATGGTCCTCTTCGACTTTGGCAACCTACGGCCTGGCCACAGCGTCTTGGTACACATGGCTGCAGGTGACAGGCACCCTCCATTTATCCCACCCAGATTTCCTTCCAGGCCCGTTCCCTGCTGCATGTCTGGACTGTTGTCATGGCAACACTGGCTGCCTCGGCCTATGGTGCCCAGAGGCCTCTGCAGTGTTGTTGCCATGGTAACACTCAGGCACCAGGTCCAACCTGGTATGCTATCATAGCAACGTGCCCTCGCCCAGCACCCCCTCCTTGGCAGTCTCCCTCCCCCCAGTTGTTAGTCTTGGAAATTAGACATGGGATGATGGAAGAAAGCCCCAGGATGAACCTCGGCAAAATGATGGGCTGGATCCTTGAGAGGTGGAAATGGGGAGTGGTGGCTAGGCGACCCCATATCCCCTCCTTAGAAAGTGTCTTGCTTTAGGGGGTGTGGGTATGGCTGCCTTGCAGCTGTGCCGGACAGTGGAGAATGTGACCGTGTTCGGAACGGCTTCAGCCAGCAAGCACGAGGTGCTGAAGGAGAACGGAGTCACACACCCCATCGACTACCACACGACTGACTACGTGGATGAGATCAAGAAGATTTCCCCCAAAGGTCTCAGGGAATGGGAAGGGCTCGGATGGCATGGGGCTAGGGAGGTGGGGCATCTCCGGATCTGTGACTCCTAATGCTCTTCTTGGGCCCCCTACTCTGTGACAGGTGTGGACATTGTCATGGACCCTCTGGGTGGGTCAGATACTGCCAAGGGCTACAATCTCCTCAAACCCATGGGCAAAGTAGTCACTTACGGTGAGTGAGTGGGCCAGAGGTGAAGGGGGAGTTTGGGGAAGTATTGTGGGTCGGAGGGGTGGGATATTAGGGGCCCGGGGCTTTTGAAGGCAGAAGGTGTGGAGACTCCGGTGCTATGAGAAAGCATCGCTGTTAGGATGGTTCTGGTTATTGCATTCAGGTTGCTGCCTCCTGGGTGTACCTACTGTCCTTTTCTTGCATGAGTCATAGCAAATTTGGTGTTCTGTGTTCTTGTTTGGGGATTATTCCTGATACAATATCAACCTGTCTGCTTTCCTCTGTCTTACTTCCCAGGCTTCTTGGGCCAGCTGCATTTTCATTCAAAAAACTACTTCACACCCAAAATAAATAAGTAAAGCTCAGAGCAATCTTTGAGTCAGTTGGGCCAGGTAGCCAGCAGGTGGCGGAAGGTTCTCCTGTCACTCCTGGGGCCGGCATGGATAATTGTAAGGGGCCTGCAGTGGGCAGATGAGCATGAATCCAGACATGCAGGGATATGCTTGGCCCCCGGATTCACAGGCTGTGTCTCTCTCTGCCTCAGGAATGGCCAACTTGCTGACGGGCCCCAAGCGGAACCTGATGGCCCTGGCGCGCACGTGGTGGAATCAGTTCAGCGTGACGACTCTGCAGCTGCTGCCAGCCAACCGAGCCGTGTGTGGCTTCCACCTGGGCTACCTGGAGGGCGAGGTGGAGCTGGTCAGCAGTGTGGTGACCCGCCTCCTCGCTCTATACAACCAGGGCCACATCAAGCCCCGTATTGACTCCGTGTGGCCCTTTGAGAAGGTGAGTGTGATGGCTCTGCAGAGAGGGCCTGGGTAAGACACCCAGGAAGTCCCCAGAGGAGGAATCCGGGGAGGAGGAGGGCTGACCCCTTTAGGCTGGCTGCTGGAGGAGCTGGATGGCGCTGAAAGCAGAGTCTTATCTTCCTCTCCAGGTGGCGGATGCCATGAGGCAGATGCAGGAGAAGAAGAATGTGGGCAAAGTCCTCCTGGTGCCTGGGCCGGAGAAGGAGAACTAGGCCAGGGGCTAGGCAACCCTCGGGGCCCGGGAAAGAGAGAAGTTAGGAAGCCATGTGCTGTTGGCCACCAGACCCTCACTGTTCGGTTCATCCTCTGTCACCACACGTTGCCCTCTCTGCCCGCAAGGTCCCCATGGTGATGACCTCTCCCCTGCCCTGTTCTTTCTCTTCAGTCAGGGCTTCCCCCTCCCGCCTTCCTGCCCTCTGAAGAGGGTGGGAAGTGACCACTTGGATGTCTGGGCCCTGCCAAGGGGACAGGGAGGGTCAGAGGGAGGCAGTTGCTTCCTGCCCCCACCCTTTCCCCAGGCCCACTGTGCTGCTTTTGTGCCAAGATTAAGGTTAGCCAGTTCCTTCCCGTCCTGTTTCTGTGTGCTTCCGCCTACCCCTCATCGCCCGCCATGCCCCTGCCCCACACCTCCCCAAAGAAACAAAATGTCAGCTCAGGATATGGGGCCAATCTGTGTGAATCCAGCATGTCCCTGTGTCGCCCTAGTGTCCCTTCAACCCGGGCCAGCCAGCGCCCCCACTTTGTCGCAAGACCTCGTCCTGTCGCCAACTTCTCGAGCACAATCGGGCTGATCCCACCTCCAGGTGTTCTGCCACTCTGAACCAGAGGTGCCTCTTCCAACTGGGGCGGGAGTCAGACCAGCCCCCCTCTGTGGGAGGGACGTGGAGCCCCCTCAGCCCTTCACTGAGTTCTCTGGATTTGTTCTCAGTGCCTTAGCAATGGAAACCTTGCTTGTGTATGTGGGGGTCCCTGCCTCACACCTCCTCTTCCCCCGTCCTCCCCAGTGCCTTCCTTGTTCTGCCGGAGCTGGGGTTTCGCTGCTCCCCAGTCCCACAACACTGCCAAAAATCCGTGTGTGTGCCAGTGGGTGGGGGGCCAGCCCCTAGCCTCCTGGGGCCTGGGCCATGTCCTGTCTCTGGGGCTGTCGTTTCTCTGTGGTGGTGGAGGAGAAAGAGGTGGGGGAGCTTTCCCTGCCTTGCAGCTAAGTGTGGCATTTACCAGCCAGAGCTCTGAGAGACCATGCCATCTGCGTGTTGTTCTGGGACCAGTGTAAAAATCAAAGCACATTCCCCCTGTCGTCAAGGGAGGCCCACTGCGTCCTCAGAGCAGGGAGGCAGCTTTTCACAGTCAGCCCCAGACTTTGTTTACGTGGGTGAGGAGATGAAATAGGGGTTCAAAGTGGGGTGGTTTAGGACCTGGGCCACTGGAACCAAAGTAGGGACTTCCTGGAGCAGGGGTACAGTAGGTCCCTCTGCCCTGGGATCTGGGATGAGGGAGGGTTATTGCCCGAGCCATTGCCAATGGGAGGTGAGGGGGAGGGGCTCAGCCTCTTCATCATCTGAATGAGGCCAAATAACATGTGAAGTGCGATTGTTTTCGCTTCTGTGTACCACCCCATTACCGAAGCTGCCTTTGTGTTTGTGTCAATAAAACGCCAAACCCTGCGTCCTGGATCCTGCCTCTGATAGTGAAGGGGAAGGTGAGCTTGTGGAAGGCCAGCACAGCTAGCGGAAGGCTGGGGTTTCCCCCTCCCCCAGCCTCCTTCCATGCCCCGATCAAGTTTCCTTTTACGAAGTGAAATGAGGAAGAGGATCACGCCAGGCGGGCACTTTTACTGTTCTTGGGCAGCATTTCATCGCTCATAATACCTCCCTTTGTTGACCAGCGTCATCACTTTCTCCTGTACATGCCTCCAGCCCCAACCTGGTTTAAGAGCCTTGGCAGAGAGGTGGGCTTGCTGAGTAGGGCGGGCTCCTAGCCTGACTTCGAAGTGAAGACTGCCAGGCCCCACTGTCCCGGGGGCACGACTGTCACAGCTTCCACCTCCCCACCTCCACGGGTGGGTTTCTGGAAGTGGATCTCCAGGATGTCTTGTAGCTCCGGGCTGTCCAGGACATCGGGAATGTTGAGCACCAGCACGGACTGGGGCACAGGCTGGGGTCTGACCTGGAAAGGGAGCCGGGAGACGGGTAAAGGCTCATGCGAGCTGGGCTTGGAGGGGGAAGATGTCGGGGAAGGTGGTGACCCTGGGAGTATGGGAGGGGGCAGGAGGCCTGGAGAGGTGGGAAGTGGATAGGTCAGTGGGGTTTTGGGGCTGTGATCCCTCCTTGAGCAAGTTTCTGGTGTGCAGACAGGTGGCCTGGCCCAGTCCCCATCTTCACCTTCCCACTTACCTCGGCCTTCTGGATCTTCCCGCTCATGTAGGGAGAGACTGTCAGACAGGACTGCTGCTTACCCAGTGGCACTGTGAACTGGCCCTTCTGGCACAGGTGCTGGGCCACTGCAGGGACAGGGAGCAGGAGACCTTCAGCATCCAGGGCTCTCCCCTCCCGTGGCCTGATGCCCCTGCTCTCACTCACCAGCAAGGCCCTTACCTCCATCCTCAGTAAAGCCCAGCATGACACCCCCTTGCAGCAGTTCCCTCATCTCCACGTCACCACCTCCATTCTTGGTCTTGCCAAAGAAGATCTCCAGCTTGTCCAGCAGCTCCTCCTCACTTAGCTTGAGCTCAGCAGGAAACCCACTGACCAGCACTCTCTGGTCATTCTTCCGGCTGGACACCTGGGGAAAGACAGGAGGAAGTGGTCCCGGGCACAGCCCAACACCCTTGTGCTCAGTGCACGGGGCCCCCTGTGGGTCCCAGGGCCCTGCCACTCTGTCACCTGGATGCTGGTCAGCACGGGTAGCTCCAGGGGCTGGACTTGAACCCTCAGCCGGAACCCTTCCACGTTGATCTGATGCTCCTTTTGCTGCAGCACCTGCTTGGCCACTGGGGAAGGGGAGCAGGGTTGGTCCTTGAAAGTCTCCCAGCCTCCCTCCCAGGGTTTCCTGGAGCTCACCATTGGGGTCATCAAAGGTCACCAGAGCAGAGCCTCCAGGCAGAGGGTAACAAATCCGCACATGGGAAACCACAGACTTGGCCGTTGCCTTGCCCTCCTGAAAGTGTCCTCGGAACACCAGGGGGGACTCGGGCACAGGGAATGGGACCTGCGGGTGGGGGAGGAGAGGGTGATTCAGACTTCAGGGTTGGGGAGAGCCCCCCCACTCCCTCCTAGGAGGGAAGCACCCCTGATTATATGTAACTGATGCTGAGTGCCAGGGATTAATCCTGAAGCGAGAGCTGGATGAAGTGGAGTAAGTGATTTAAGTGGATAAGGTCACACAGCAAGGAAGTGGCAGGGCCAGGAGTGAAATTAAGACTTCCCCAACTTTCTCTACCAGGCCACACCCCCTCGAAGTTTACCTTGTCTTGGGGGCAGTCCCTGAGATTCCTCTGCAGCACCTGCAGCTCCTGCAGCCTTATCTTTAGTCTGGCCTGTTCCTCCTGAAGGGCCTGGAGAGCCTGTTGGAGCAGAGGGGGAACAACCAGAGAATGAATGAGCCTGGGGAAGGGCGCCACACTCTTTAAGACTCTCCAAGAGTAGGGCTGATGCTCAGCCTGAGAACAACCCAACCCATTTACCCTGGCCTGGGCTCGTCCTGGCCCAGCTTGAATGCCCTCATCTCAGCTGCTCTGAAGGGCAGGAGCCTTTGCAGCAGCTGTGGCTGGGTCATTCCTGGAGCCCTAGAGTTTAACAAATGCAGACTTTCCTGGTGAGTCCGGTGGTTGAGAATCCACTTTCCAATGCAGGGGATGCGGGCTTGACCCCTGGTCTGGGAACTGAGATCCACATGCCACAACTATTGAGCCTGCGTGCACCACAAGCAAAGACCCAGCACAGTCCAAAACAGAAAACATCGATTGAGCTCCTGCTATGAGTGACTGGGCATGACACAGGGCAGTGGAAGACAAAGGTCCAGCCCTCAGGCCTGTATAAGATGGTACTCAAGACAGTTCACAATCACACAACTGATGGTGGAGGACAGCAGGAATTTGGAGGAGGGAACGTCCTGTAGGGGTTAACACACCTAGGGAGACCTAGAGAAGGAATAGGGGCTTAGAGTTGTAAGATAAGACTATCAGCTAACATTTATTAGGCACTTACTGTATATCAGGCACTGTGCTAAGCCCTTTATATGAATTATATCACTCACATCTTGCAACAACCTTATGAAATAAGTACACTCTTGCCCTTATTTTGCAGAGGAGGAAACTGTAGTTCAGAGAGATCAGATGACTTGCTCACAGTCATCCGGCCTTAGGCAGTCTGACTCCAGACTCTTAATCTGTGCTTTACAGTGAAGAAATCAAAGTCGGAATAGGGGAGCAATTTACCCAAGATCTCCCAGCCTGTCCCATGACTGCCACCCTTTCCACTGTGCCAAGCAGCCTTTCAGACTGGGCGTGATTTGGGGCAGGTCCAAAGAGAGAGAGAGAGCTGACAAATAGCCAGGGGAATGACACCAGGGATGGGAATAAATGCACCTTTGTTTGTCGGGTGGATCGCTCACTCTGCAGTTGGAAGCCTGATAAATAAGGTCAGCTCAGGGAAGTGTGAGGTCTCTGGGGAGGACGGGACTCTGTCCTGGCCATCTCTGTGTCCCCAGCACAAAACAGGCATTCAGTAAATTGTGTGTTCAATGACGTGAACGAACGACATAATGGAAGCATATTACACAGGGTGCTGAATCATTCAGGGTGAGTTCACTCTGTTTTAAGCAGACGAAACCCAGGGCTGGACCAAATAATGCTGGGTAATGAGTAGTGAGAAATAATCAGTGATTCTCAGGGGCAGTGAGATGACATCCGTGAGTCAGGGGAGGCCGTGTAGTGTCATGTGGAGAGGTGGGGACTCTGACATCTTGGAGACAGCATGTCCCCACTAGAGTGGCAACCCCATCTTGGCTCTAGCCAAGTTTTCTTCACATGGAATGTGGTTTCAGTATCCTATATCTTCCCATTTCTAAAGGAAATCAGAAACCCAGATTTTTTTATTTGAAAAAGATGGCTTGACTTTAAAGAAACATGACAAATAAAATGCATTCTTGAATTGGATTCAGTCCTTAACCTATCCTCTTTTTACTTCTGCTTTAAATCTTGATCTAATTAGACATGTTGTTTGAAAACCTAGTAATTGGCAAGGCTATTCAATACGTAGCTTTAAATAAGTAAATTTATTTGTTTTTAAAAGCTTCATAAATACAATTAAAAAAATATTCACACAGGGGAGTTTATCAGCAGGGAAATGGAGAACTAGTGAAGATTTCTGAAAGGGGGAGTGAGGTGATGGATACATTGTTTAAAAGAGCTCAATTTGCCCATCAAAAAATGGGCAGAGGACCTATATAGACATTTCTCTGAAGAAGACATACAGATGGCCAGGAGGCACATGAAAAAAATGCTCAACATCACTAATTATTAGAAAAATGCACATCAAAATTACAATGACCTCAGACCAGGTCAGAACAGCCATCATGAAAAAGTCTATGAATAATAAATGCTGGAGAGGGTGTGGAGAAAAGGGTGTGGAGAACCCTCCTGCACTGCTGCAGGGAATGTAAATTGGTACAATCAGTATGGAAAACAGTATGGAGGTTCTTTGAAAAACTAAAAATAGGGGCCTCCCTGGTGGTCCAGTGGCAGGGGATGTGGGGTTGATCCCTGGTTGAGGAACTAAGTCCATGTGCCGCAACTACCGAGCCCTTTCGCCGTAACTGGAGTCCATGTGTCTCAATGAATGATCCTCATGATGCAAGGAAGACCCCACATGCTGCAACTAAGAACTGACCCTGACGCCACCAAAAAATAAACAACTAAAAATAGAGTTACCCATATCATCCAGCAATGCTGTTTCTGGACATACATCCAGAAAAGATGAAAACTCTAACTTGTGGTGTTTTCACTGACACATGCAGCCTAACGTTCATAGGAGCACTGTTTACAATAATCAAGACATGGAAGCAAGTTAAGTGTCCACCAATAGATGAATGGATAAAGATGTTTTATACACACAATGGAGTATTACTCAGTCATAAAAAGAATGAAGTAACACCATTTTGCAGCAACATGGATGGACCTAGAGATTATCACACCAACTGACATAAATTAGATGAGAAAGACAAATATCATATAATATCACTTATATGTGGAATCTGAAAAAAAAGATACAAATGAATTTTTGACAAAGTGAAGACAGACATAAAGAACAAACTTACAGCTATCAAAGGACAAAAGGGGTGCCAGAGAGCTAAATTAGGAGTTTGGGATTAGCAGATGCACATTACTATGAAGAAAATAGATAAACAACAAGGATCCCTTATATCACACAGGGAACTATATTCAATATCTTATAATAACCTATAATAGAGAAGACTATGAAAAAGAATATGTATATATGTATAAGTGAATTATTTTGTTATATACCTGAAGCTAATACAATATTGTAAACCAACTATACTAAAAAAGAAAAAGATTTCTATCTGACAGTGATGGCAGGATGAACGGGAGCAGCAGGAACTGTGGAATGAGGAAACAAACCCAGACTCTGCAGCTCTAATTCTCACAGATGTGACAGGAGCTGACCTGAGCCTCTGGCGGTAGGCACAAGGAACACGTGCGGGTGAGTATGTCCCTTGAGGAAAAGCCCCCAGACTCTGGATGCTGTATTAAGGAGACAGAGGGGACAAACTGGAGAGAGTGCTGAGGTTGCAGACCTGGGTGTTCAAGGGTTTGGTATATCATTGAGCCAACAAGCAAGGGAAGAGAGCCAGTAGTTATTGGGGACCTGCTAAATGCCAGGCACAGTTGGGATCCATCCCATTTAAGTATCATGAAACTGCTTCCTATCTCCAATTCCCAGCTGAAACTTCAGACTTTTCAAGGACAACATAGGCTGATTATAGTGATTTACTTGAATTCAGGACTTCCCTGATAGCTCACTTGGTAAAGAATCCGCCTGTAATGCAGGAGACCCCGGTTCAATTCCTGGGTTGGAAAGCTGTCCTGGAGAAGGGAAAGGCTACCCACTCCAGTATTCTGGCCTGGAGAATTCCATGGACTGTATAGTCCATGGGGTGGCAAAGAGTTGGACATGACTGAGCAACTTGCACTTGAATTCAGCTATACATGCCATTTATTTCCTTAACATTATAACTTGGTCCCTAAGTGGAAGCCAATATCTGTCAGGTGCTCAACTGAAAAAAAAAAATTGCTATCCACTTTATATTGAGCTTATTGAGACTGTAAATTCTGGAAACTTAGGAGTGAGTTAATGATTTGAGGTTCATTTAACTACATGCAAGCATTCTTCAGAATGCTGAAGCTGAAGCTCCAATATTTTGGCCCCCTGATGCGAACAGCCAGCTCAATGGAAAAGACCCTGATGTTGGGAAGGATTGAAGGAGAAAAGGAGAAGAGGGAGGCAGAGGATGAGATGGTTGGATAATATCACCAATTCAGTGGATGTAAACTTGGGCAAAATCTGGGAGACAGTGATGGACCTGGAGGCCTGGCATGCTGCAGTCCTTAGAGTCGCAGAATCAGACATGACTTAGGTACTGAACAATAACAACAACAATTGCATTCTCCTCCTTATTTGTGAAGTTTAGAACCTGACCACCCCTACGGTAAAATCTCATGCTACCTGTGTTCATCATAGCAGTATTGGCAGGCGGTGTAACGTAACAATTAAGAACATAAATTCTGGGGTCAAACCTCCAGGACTTACATCCAGCTGTTCCTACTACTGCAAGACAATGGACAAGTTGTTTAACTCTCTGTGCCTTGGTTTCATCTATAAAATGGGAACACCAATTTCTATCTATGTATAATTTTATTTGTAAAAGTAGTTTCTGGTATATGATGAGTGCTATGTTAAATGTTTTGTATTTAATAATCCCCACTTGATAGTTGAAGAACCTGAGATCCCTTAAGGTTAAATAATAGAGGGAGTTTCCTGATGGTCTAGTGGTTAAGATTCTGGGCTTTCACTGCCATGGCCTGGGTTCAATCCCTGGTCAGGGGACTGAGATCCTCTAAGCCAGTGGTCCCCAACCTTTTTGGCACCAGGAACCAGTTTCATGGAAGACAATTTTTCCGTGGACTGGGGAGGGGGGTGGTTTGGGGACAATTCAAGCGCATTACATTTATTGGGCACTTTATTTCTACTGGGGCTGCCTGGTGGCTCAGACGGTGAAGAATCTGCCTGCAATGCAGGAGATCTGGATTCGATCCCTGGGTTGGGAAGAGCCTCCTGAAGGTGGGCATGGCAACCTATTCCAGTATTCTTACCTGGAGAATCCCATGGACAGAGGAGCCTGACTGGCTACAGTCCATATGGTTGCAAAGAGTCAGACATGACTGAGTGACTAACATTATTTTTATTATTACTACATCGGCTGCGCCTCATATCATCAAGCATTAGATCCTGGAGGTTGAGGACCCCTGATACAGATTATCTGCAGTCCTATATTATAGACTCTGGAGACATAGCAATAAAAATAAAAAGGAAAATATATTCCC